ATCGAACCCAGGAACCTGACGCAGGAATCTGCATTGCAGGTGGATTCTTTACCAGCTGAGCTACCAGGGAAGCCCTTGACTCCCTGGATACCCTCAATTGTCTAGCCATGTTTTCTTCCTGTCTTACAGTTACAGGCCTCATTTGTAATCAGGATTACTTTACAAGCTTTGAGGGTTTGAGCTAAGAGGAATAATGGCTTTCTAAATACTTCTTATAGGTTGTAGCTCAGTGACTTGTATAGAATAGGCACTTAATAATACTATTCGTTCAATTAATTGGTTGGGAAATGTTCTTGGACAGGTTCCCACTCTGAGCATTAATATGTATAAGCACTGAGGTACCTTTTATTCTAACAGATTCCCTTCCCCCTCCCCACCCTGCCTTAGCTTATGTGGTAGTAGAGTTCTTTATTTGACTTTGTCACTTTTGTAGTCAATGATCCTTCTATTTCAATCACACTAGACCTAAATCTATTACTAGTTGTTTAGCCTTGGACACATTATATAATTGTTTTGTGTCTTGATTTCCTTATTGATAAAATGAGAGTGATAGAAGCACCTACTTCATAAGACTATCATGGCTAATGAGTTAATACATGTAAACACTTAGTACAACCATTGTTTATTTCAGGACTGTAGTTGGTCAACCTCAGCTGTTGGTTGGCTATAGATACAAAAGTTTGGTGAAATCAGTGAAAGCATTCTGTGAGCACTAATGAGCTCTATAGAACTTATGATAAGGTATGTTGCATATATTCTTATTATATTAAAATTGTGTGCTACACATCATTTTTGTTGGTAAAATTTATAAAAAGTTTGTGTATGGATACATGTACACACAGCATTTTTGTTGTTTTAGACATTTACCACAAGGTAATACTGTCTCTACTTTTGTTCTTCAAGCTTATGGATGTTTCTCTCTCATATGGATAATGTCTGGATGTAGCCTGTAGCAGATGCTGTTGATATCCTACCCAGATCTCCTTTATTGGGCCAGTGCCTCCATCTCCCAGCTGCTGCGGGTATTGGCTGCTAATGACTCACACCTGTACCCTTCTCCAGAGGCCTGCCCTTGGCTGACAGTAATTGCCTCAACCAAACATACTGGGGAGATTATGAGATCATGCCCCACCACCCTCTCTGTTCCCTAGGGATGGCTCATAGCCAGTGACTATTCAGGGGTAAAACAGCCCAGCCCCCTTGCCTTTTGGACTGGGTGACTTCCACAGTACAGTCCACACTCTAGAACGCCTCATTGGATCAGGCTGAGGCTAGATTTCTGAAACCATATCTTTGCATGGTCCCTTTCTGCTTCCACTCCAGTTTCTCCTGACAGAACTCTGCCTATACTCAAGTGTGTAAGAGACACATCTCAGGTTCTGCACGTAGGGAACTTGACCTAAGATATTGCTAATTTCAGTGCCACTATTGTTTTCTTAGTTCTACCATCACTTATGAAACTAATTCCCTATATTAAATAATCTCTAGCTTAAATTTACTCTCCTTGTTTGTTTTTCTTGGTTGGACCATGTCTGATAGGCATCAACCCTGCTTGTATCCTCTATCTTTGCATATTTAAGGTTCAGTTCAGTTCGCTTCAGTAGCTTAGCCCTGTCTAACTCTTTACCCCATGGACTGCAGCACACCAGGCTTCCCTGTTTATCACCAACTCCCAGACCTTTCTCAAACTCTTGTCCATCAAGTTGGTGATGCCATCCAACCATCCCATCCTCTGTCGTCCTCTTCTCTTGTCTTCAGTCTTCCCCAGCATCAGGGTCTTTTCCAGTGAGTCAGTTCTTCGTATCAGGTGGCCAAAGCATTGGAGTTTCAGCTTCAACATCAGTCCTTCCAATGAATATTCAGGACTGATTTTCTTTAGATTTGACTGGTTGGAACTCCTTGCTGTCCAAGGGACTCTCAAGAGTCTTCTCCAACACCACAGTTCAAAAGTATCAGTTCTTCGGCGCTCAGCTTTCTTTATAGTCCAACTGTCCAATCCATACATGACTACAGGAAAAACCATAGCTTTGACTAGATGGACCCTTGTCAGCAATGTCTCTGCTTTTTGGTAAGTTGTCTAGATTGGTCATACCTTTTCTTTTGAGGAGCAAGCGTCTTTTAATTTCATGGCTGTAGTCACCATCTGCAGTGACTTTGGAGCCCCCAAAAATAAAGCCTGTTACTGTTTCAGTTGTATCCCCATCTGTTTGCCATGAAATGATGGGACCAGATGCCATGATCTTAGTTTTTTGAATGTTAAGTTTTAAGCCAGCTGTTTCTCTCTCTTTCACTTTCACCAAATGCTCTTTAGTTCCTCTTCACTTTCTGCCATAAAGATGGTGTAACCTGCATCTCTGAGGTTATTGATATTTCTCCCTGCAGTCTAGATTCCATGTCCAGTTCTAGCTATTGCTTCTTGACCTGCATACTGATTTCTCAGGAGGCAGGTAATAAGGTGATCTGCTATTCCCATCTCTTGAAGAATTTTCCATAGTTTGTTGTGATCCACACAGTCAAAGGCTTTGGCGTAGTCCATGAAGCAGATGTTTTTCTGGAATTTTCTTGCTTTTCCTATGATGTATCAGATGTTGGCAATTTGATCTCTGGTTCTTCTGCGTTTTCGAAATCCAGCTTGTATATCTGGAAGTTCTCAGTTCATGTACTGTTGAAACCTAGCTTGCAGAAATTTGAGCATTAGTTTGCTAGAGTGTGACATGAGTGCAGATGTGGTAGTTTGAACGTTCTTTGGCTTGCCTTTCTTTGGGATTGGGATGAAAACTGACCTTCCCAGTCTTGTGGCCACTTCTGGGTTTTCTAAATTTGCTGACATATTGAGTCAGTGCTTGTACAGCATCATCTTTTAGGATTTTATATAGCTCAGCTAGAATTCCATCACCGCCACTAGTTTTGTTTGTAGTGATGCTTCCTAAGGCCCACTTGACTTCACACTCCAGGTTGTCTGGCTCTTGGTGACTGATCACATCATCGTGGTTATCTGGGTCATTAAGATCTTTTTTGTATAGTCTTCTATGTATTCTTGCCACCTCTTCTTAATGTCTTCAGCCTCTGTTAGGTCCATACCGTTTCTGTCCTTTATTGAGCCCATCTTTGCATGAAATGTTCCTTGGTATCTCTAATTTTCTTGAAAAGATCTCTAGTCTAGATATTTAAGGTTATTCAACATCAAATTCTCTTGATCTTAATGTTTACCTGATTATTTTTATACAATATTAGGATGAATACCCCAGATTTTAGAATCTCACAATAAGTTTCAAAGCCTAAGTCAATTACAACTCCCTTTTAAATTTTGTTGTAAGAATTACCTGAGCTGTTTTTTCAAGAATGGTTAATTCTGTGCCTGGAATGTAGAAGTGGTTAATAAATGGTAGCCGTTTGATTGATATTACTCTTTTAAGAGACTTGCCCAGACTGAACAGATGACTCATCCCTTACTCCCAGAGAACCCTAATATGTCCCTTTATAATCTTTCCTCTTCTCAGTGTCATCCCATGGTAAATTGGCTCTCCAGGGGAAGGAAAGACCTGACAGATAGCTTTTCCTGATTTTTCTTGGGAAAAATACTCCTACGCTGTCCATTTCCAAGCTACCAAAATGATTTCACTGAAGACAGTTTGAGAAGAGACACACATTTTACTCTTAGCAGCCAGTACACACCAGTTCCAGTCTCCACTCTGAATTCCTAACTCTGAGCACACTAGATCCACCATAGAAGCTAGATGTTCTGTAGATGACTAAAATATAGTTTTTAACTAGTTAGAACTTGATTATAGAGTATGAAATTGGTGAAATTCCTTGACATCAATTTTTTGTTAAAAAACCCATAACTTGTATTGGTTATATAACTCCACTCCTCCACCCCCGTACACACACACATGCATGCATGTGTGCACACACAAAAATTGCCCATGTTATTCATAAATCAAAGAAAAGGAAGTATACATCATGATAATGTGGGAAATACCCATGCCTTCCCTGAGCAAGTTGTCAACTTTCTCAGATGCAGATCTCAAGTTTGTGATTTACTGTATACATCAATGGAGCTTAGTCACTTCACCTCTCTTGGCCCCAGTTTCTTCAGAGTTGGAAGCCTAATTAGTATATAATTCCATTTCCTTCTTCCCTCATTTTCCTCATTCTTGTATCAAACTTTTAATTGTAAATTGTGCTAGATGTTTGAAACACAATAAGGAATAAGACTTGGCCCTGGTTGATGAGAATCTTACTGCCTTATTTTATGAATATCCATCTCACTTGAGGCCATGAGTATGCATGCATGCTCAGTCGTATCTGACTCTTTGGGACTCTGTGGACTGTAGCCCACCAGGCTCCTCTGTCCGTGGAATTTTCCAGGCAAGAATACTGGAGTGGGTTGCCATTTCCTTTTCCAGGGGATCTTCCTGACCCAGAGATCAAAATGAAGTCAATCTGCATTGACTGGCAGATTCTTGCCAAATGGAGTTATGCAAATGTGCCAAAGGCCAAGATTTTACTTCATCACAGAGTTTAGCACTTTGACACATAAAGGAATTGTGCTAATAGCTTTCTGTTTAAATTAAACAAGGTTGCCCTGATCAGTAAGTGGTTCTCTGACTGATGTTAATGGTGTGGAGAGAACCCTTGGTGAACAGCTTTGTTATTCTGCTCTCTGAGTTAGGCTCAGACTCAGTTTGTAGAGAGGGTAGTTTATTCAGGACTATTAAGCAAATTTGAAAACATTCTTTTGCATTTAAGAAGTACTTAGCCTGATTCTTTCTTCACTATTTTGATAAGAAAGGCATGAAGAATGACTCTTAAACTTTTGTGTTCTCCTTCAAGGCCATATCCACACATTGGCTCTAATGCCTTTGTTCTCATCAAGTATGATCTCTGCACTTAATTTTCAAAGCCATGTTGGTGTCCAATAGAAAATTACTGTTGGGAACATTTTTCATGTTACTGAAAGCTATTTTTAAAAAGAGAATTTGTTTTGTTCTTGACAGGGGCTGATAATATCCGGAAATACTGGAGCCGCTACTACCAAGGATCTCAAGGGGTAATATTTGTATTAGACAGTGCCTCTTCAGAAGATGATTTAGAGACTGCTAGAAATGAACTGCACTCAGCTCTTCAGCACCCACAGTTATGCACTTTACCCTTTTTAATATTGGCCAATCATCAAGACAAGCCAGCTGCTCGGTCAGTACAAGAGGTATGTCTCACGAAGGTAACAGCTCTTGGTCTGTCAGTTTGTTGCACTTGTGCTGCCATGCTGGAATCTGAAAAAATTCCTGTAATTAGAAATATGCTGGTTATACTGTTTCTCAACATGAAATTTTAGGTTATGAAAAAAGAAAGCCTGTATTAATCTGATGGAAATTATTATTCGTACCTCTAACCCCACTTATGGAGATCATAGGTGGGTTTTTTTAAACCTTTAGCAAAAGTTAGAGGATTTATCTGAATATATTTCTCATCTATTTTGGAGGGCTAAAGGCCTGGTTATTTAACTTTTGTTTTTTTAGCCTACCAGCTTACTTCGGTCATTCTTCTTTTCAAGGAGTGTATCATGTGTATTACCATGCATCATTTGCCCTCAGATGTCATGTTCTTGTCCCCTGTAATGCCCACTGCTTACTAGAAGCAGTGGGTACTATTCTGTAATCAGCAAGGCTGAAAATTGATGTCTTATCTTGCAAGTTCCATGCCACTGAATACCTTTTAATACGGAACAATTCTTTATCTTCCATATTTAATTTCATTTCTTAGCTTGTATCTCTCCTATAAAAGCATGAGACTAATTCTGGGCAGATAACCATGGTCTCAGCAGAGTTTCTGATTCATGGTACTAAAGTAATAAGATACATGAATAGCTTTCAAAACTTAAATGATAGTGAAGTTTAACCTTCAGTACAGTGAAATCTAAACTTTTGATGTATTCCTTTTCACCTGTAACTATCAGGACATGTTCTATCACCACCACCTCCCCCTACTTCAAAAGTTCTGTGCTTTTCTTTTATTAACTTTAGAATAATAGAAGCCACACTGCCCTTTAGTCTGAAAAACAGATGAGGAGCCAAGGATATAATATGTTCTAACTCCAGACTCCCTCCTACTTTGTGCGGGACCTATTGGCAGATAGCTTTGTCTCTGTACCTGCCTTCTTACCTGTGAAATGGGAATAATGTGATTCTTTTTTAATGAGAAGTGAGTGGGATTAATTTCCTAATTCACTTTGAAGTGTACTAAGTGTCAGAGGTACCATATACAGAGTATTTTCATTTATTTTAGGAAAGTAGTAAAGAAGGCAGGAATTTCTTATTAAACAGAGCTTATATGTATCTTTAGTTGCCTCATTCAGCATTAAGTAGTGCTAACCTTTTTGAGATTTTGTGAAATACCATACAGATGATAATAAATGATTAAGATAAAAAAGAATAATACAAATCTATTCAGACAATCAACAATGTGCAGATCTTCAGCATTGTAATTGTGGTGCCTTCCTGATTGCTTCTTAAGACCTCAGGTACATTTTTTAAGCTCTTAACACCAGTTTTTCTGTCTGTAAAATGGATGTAATAGTGTAATGATGGGTAGTTATAAATGTTATATTAGTTTATGATTATAAGGTGATTTGCTGAAAAGGCATTGGTATTCTGAGATTTACTGTGTAAAATATATGAGTGTATTACAGAATATGCATCAACAATATAACATTTTGTGTGTATTAATAATACATGTTTAATACATTATGTGTAGTAATACATAGATGTATTTATACATGAATAAATATAGATTATGATATGAAATAGATAGTACATAGCACTTCAAATCACTTTAAAGACATGTGCTATAGCTGAAAAGATTTTATTTTGCTTTTAAATTAGAAACTGTTTATATGTTTCCATAGACATCAAAAAAGTGAAGCTAATGTGTTCTAGAAACCTAACATATGACTCATAGTAATCCATAGGAATTAAAGACTGCTACATTGAATAAAGGTAGCTTGTAACAATTAATTGCTTAAGAGTATGCCATGTGATTGTTGGCTGGCTGCCTCTTCTAGGAAGAGGACAGCTATCTAACGTCTGTTGCTTCAGATTTTTGTTCAGATGAGACAGAACCAAGAATACATTCGCCTGCTAATTCATTTTTTTAGTAAGAAGAGGTTATGAATGTAGGGTAATCATAGATATACTTTGAAAATTATTCTAAGCTTGCATATACTGGAGCATATGTGTCTTTGACTTTCCTTTTTATTCACATCCATTTTAAATGAATTTTCTACAAAATTTCCACTTGTGATGGAATTTGCAAATGCTGTTTTGAGGACTGATCTAAGTGAAGCATTTCCCTATGATTACATACACACACACACACACACTACACCAGGTGCATGTTTATGTTTTAGACTACCCTAATTGATTTCATGGACAAATTCCATTGCAGATCTTGAACTTGAGATACAGTGAAGTGCTCAAACTTACTTTGAATTTGAGAGAGGAAGAAATGGAAGCTTCCTATTTTCCCCATTGCTTGTACGACAGAAGTTTCTCCATGTAGTATTATGATGCTTTCCTGAAATACTCCTAGGAATGTTTTAGGAATTAATACCTTTTTGTTAGCATAAAAATGGAATTATGAAATTAAATCTTAAAATTTTTATAAACAGTAACCTCAAAATTGTTGGGAGTAGGTATAAATAGAAGAGGAGAAAGAAGATTAAGAAGTAAACAGAGTTACATATTCTTTGAAATGAGTTGAGAAGTGGTCATCTGTTTATTACTTCCTTTCCTGAGCCTAAAGGTCCGTGTCCTGCGCTGTTTCATATAAACATTTCTATTCATTTCTACCTGCTCATTTGTGTGCACTAATTGCCAGATGCTAAAAAGATGATGTTTTACTGTGCAAAATACCTGTGTATTTTAGGTAAAATTCTGTTCTTTCAGGATCAGGGAAAATGCATTCAGTTTACCAAGAAGCACGGAACAGTACTTTGATACAGTTACAAAAAATGAGGCATAGAGGCTCATCGATTCTTTCCCTACTCCTATTGAAATTATTGCATTTTGTGCTTAATGTATTTGCAAAAATACCTTGCAGTTATTTACCCTATCACTCAAGTAAAACTGTAAGAATTCATTTATCATTTAAGAAGGATATCAGTTCACTCTTGAGCTTAGAAGCTGGCAGGAGCTGGTGAAAACCATAGGAGAAAACTGAATTATCACTAGGTGAAAACTGAATTATCACAGAGGGTGAAAATCCTCAGGAAATTATATATTTAGTTCCTCCCTCTGCAATGAAAGTTTTGCTAGGTTTGTGTTGAGAACTAAGATAGGAACAATGGTTAAAATTATGGTGTAACCTACATATAAGAGCAACATGCCCCATTATTTTGTTGCTTTTTTAGAAAGCAAATGGAGTCTTGTGCATTGCATAGTTTTCCTTTCTGTAATTTACCTACTTGGTAATGATCTGTGTTTAACTTACCAGAATTTTAAGATTTTATGCCTTGAGACTGGACAGTAGAGAAAAAAATTTTTTAATAAATAAGCTTTTTTTTTTTGTAATAGCAAAACACTGGGAAAAAGGACACCCTTTACATACTGTCTGAAAGCCAAGCAGTTCTTGCAACAGATGTTTGTTGTATTCACTTTAGGGAGATGTAGTTACCACAGTTTTCCAGAATTTACTCATATCAACTATTTTTCTCTGTAGAAAACATAATATAAAACTCTATAGTTACGTCAAGTGGCCCATTTGATTCATTAGGGAAAATTCTGATCTAACTTAAACGATAAAGCTTTCTAAAACAAGAATTATCTTAAGGGTAAATAGGTTGATTTTTAAATTTGTATTGAATTGTAATTGTATCTAATTTGTTTTACAACTCCCATAGGAGAGCATACTTCAGTTCTGAAGTTATTTAATAGATCAGGAGGATTTTATGAGAAGTTAAGTTGATAGAGTAGCCAATAAAAGTAATCCTGTTTTCTCTACACAGTTGATTCTTTTACCTCCCAGCTTTTTCAAATCCTATTTTCATTTTATTGGGCATTACAGTGTCTTAAAAATGGCACATTTTGTCAACATGAAAGACATGGTTTATCTTTTCTGCAATCCATTCTGATTTGATATTCTTTCATAGCCTTAATCCAAAAGTACTTAATTTTTTCAGAAATAATACATCAAAAATACTGAATTAACTCAAATATTTTATGTTTGAGAAATATTAAGAAGTATGAAAACTAACACAACATTGTAAATGAACTGTGAAGTGAAGTGGAAGTCGCTCAGTCGTGTCCAACTCTTTGCAACCTCATGGACTATATAGTCCATGGAATTCTCCAGATCAGAATACTGGAGTGGGTAGCCTTTCCCTTTTCCAAGGGATCTTCCCAATCCAGGGATCGAACCCAGGTCTACTGCATGGCAGATGGATTCTTTACCAGCTGAGCCACAGGAGAAGCCCAAGAGTACTGGAGTGGGTAGCCTATTCCTTCTCCAGCCGATTTTCCTGACCCAGGAATCGAGCCAGGGTCTCCTGCATTGCAGGTGGATTCTTTACCAATGGAGCTATGATGGAAGCCCAAAAGTCAACTGTACTTCAGTTTTTAAAAATTTTAAAAAGGATTTAAAAGTGTGAAACATAGAAGTTTGAAGTAGAATTATAAGGTTAGATCACTATTGGTTCCATGACTCATTAATTGAAGCATAGGAATACAAAGATTCTAAATTAAAATATCAGCAGTAAAGTTGAAATTTATGATTAGGCGTTTCTCAGTTTTTGTTCAATTGTAATTTAGTTCATTATTGTGAGGTACATGCTTCCGCCATGGCTCAGTGGTAAAGCATCTGCCTGTAATGCAGGAGACTCAGGAGATGCAGGTTCAATCTCTGGGTTGGGAAGATCTCCTTGAGGAAGAAATGGCAACCCACTCCAGTATTCTTGCCTGGAGAATCCCACTGACTGAGGAGCCTGGGGGGTCTACAGTCCATGGGGTCACAAAGAGTCAGACATGACTGACCTTGCCCGCATGCACGATGTACATAGAATGTGGTGTTCTATTTGAGAAGAATAAAAGAGTATTTGCAGCTATGTCTGTTTTCATTCCAATCCCAAAGAAAGGCAATGCCAAAGAATATTCAACCTACTGCAAAATTGCACACATCTCACACACTAGCAAAGTAATGCTCAAAATTCTCCAA